GCAGCAGATGCAGGATGGTGACGAGCCTCAGGCATGAAGCAACCTTTGTGGAAAAACCCCAGAACTCAGCCCAGGAGTGCTGACCCCTGGTCCCATTGCCTTGGCTCTTCCCCCGCAGCAAATCTCACCAGCAGCAAAGGATAATTCCCCATCAAATACTCATCGACTTTTTTTTTTTTTTTTTAATTATTTCATTTTTTTTTCCACTGGTGAAACAAGGCAATAATTTTCCCTATGGACCAAAGTGCAGAAAACTCTCCGAGCCTTTCAAATCCTGCTTTTTTTTGCAAAGAGCTGGAGGGAAAGGAGAGGGTGGGTTGCGAGATGACTCCAGAAAAACATCCAGCAAGCCCTCCTGGCAGCTCCTGCCTCTTGCTAAACAACTTCGGGGCTGTGTGTAAACAGTCCTCTGCTTTTATAAACACAGCATCCAGATCGTGGAGTGGAAAAAAAGCTGCGGCCATCACGTGAAGGGGAGATGTATTGCTTCCGGCAGCTTAAGTATTTTTATCTTCTCTCGGGGTTAAGGGTTTGGGTTTGGACGTCTTTCGCCTGGGAAATGTGGGAGCGGGGAGAGGTGGCACTGCAGAGGGCCAGCACCTGGAGCAAGGCAGGATGAGAGAAGTCTTTTTTGGCAGATCTTGAACGTGTGGGGACGGCTGCGGCGGGGTCTGGTGCAGGGCGAGCGCTTTGGGTGCTGGGATCCGTCCCCCCAGCACCTGCAGGGGTAGCACGGGCACCCACCTCCACCCCTCTGCGTTGGGGTAATGCTTCTGGATTTGTCCCCTCTTCCAGTTGGACGTTATTTAACATTTGCCAGTGGCTAATAATGACGATAATATATATTATTTTTTTTCTTGGAGGCAGATGTAACCTCAGTGCTTTTCCTGGCCCAGGGGATAGGCAGTCCTGATAAAGGGACACCCCACTTTGAGCCCTTTAATAAAACTGAAGATGCAGGGGGCTTCTTGGGTGGATGTAGGGGGCTTCTAAGGGGATGCAAGGGGCTTCTGTGATTCTATACAAGGCTTTTGCTCAGCTCAGGAACCGCTGGGCGAAGTCCTACACGTAGCACTGGAGATGGTCGGTACAGTAACACACACACAGGAGAGGCACCCAGCAGTGACTGCTCTCTGCTGGCTCTTTGGGACTGAATTTTAAGCAGCCGAGTTACCTGGAAGCTAATCCTGCCCTGTCGGCCCCCCGCCTGCTCTGCAGCTTGCCCTGAGCACCACGGTCTGGGGGTTTTCAGGCAGCGAGGAAGAGGAGGAGGAGGAAGGCACTTCCCTCTATATCACACCAGCATTTCTCTGGCTGCTCAGGCTGCGTTTCCTTTGCCCTGAGCAGTGAAAAAAGGGATTTATATTTTTTTTAAATCTTTTTTGTTTGCCTTTTCTAGTTGAAGCCAATGATGGAGAACGAATTCAAGGTGAATAGGGAGAACTTCATCCGCTGCCCGGAGGAAACGCATTGTGTCTGTGTGATTTCTCATTTCTTCTTAAACCGCTCTCCGAGTACATGTAATGTTTCTCATAATTACATTGCCTCGTTTATCCCGGGGTTGGGTTCGCCTGCAATTACATCCTGCTGCACTTCACCTGGCCCTGCTGCACCGCCTCGCTGCCGGCCTCACCAAACCCAAACCGAATAAAACCTGGGGAGCGGGCAGTTGTGTGCTCCTCTGAAATCAGATTTTTATTCTGTTTGGCTCTTGTCCCCAGAGAGGCTGGGCAGAGGCTGGCTGCTCTCCTCCGCCTGGGCTTGGTGCTGTCTTATGGCAAGGCTGCTTTTTTTTTTTTAAGTCAGAGCTGAAATCTCTTTAACTCTGGGATCCCTCTAAATGCCATCTTGACAGCGATGTTTCAAGTGGCCAGCTTAGTCCTGTCCACACAGCAAGCAGCGCTAACCTGCATCTGATGCTGACATTTAAAATTAATCCTAATCGTTCCCTCCCCATCGAGACAAACCGATGAGTCTTGTGCTGCTCTCCACAGCAAGTTTACCTCTGATGAGTGCCAGCAGCAGAGTTTGGGCCCCAACAAGTCCAGGTTTGAATGCCCAGAGCTGTCGGGGACCCCAAAAAGCTGCTCTGGGGAAGAGTCCTGGGTTAGGCTGGGCTCTGAGTGCAGAAGTAATGCTGGGAGCTCTTGTAAGCCATGGAGTTGTGGGGTCTCTCCAAGCATTTTGAGAAATATCCCCCTTTTCGTTACCGCAAATTGGACCATGCTTGTGCAGAGTGGATTTTCCCATTTAGGATGAAACTCCTGGTTGAGATCTGAGATCAAAAAGGGATTTTCTGCTTTAGGCTTTGTGCAAGATTAATCCCCCCATCTCGGCCTGGGAGCATACAGAGATTGCAGCATCTTACAAAGTGCGTTGCAAAGGCCAGCACGAGTGGCTTGCCAAGAGAGAGGTGTCACCGGGTTGCCGTCTTCCAGAAACAGCAGCCAGCCCTTCCTGGCAGTGGGAGGTTTTACCCGTGGCTGATTTGAGCCCAAAGGTACACTCGTTTATGTGTGCAGGGCGGTTTGGTGGTGGGCACGGGCAGCTGAGGCTGGGTGCCCCTGGTTTCGGGTGGCTGATGGTGGATCCAGCACCAGGTCGCTGGCTCTCGTGGTGTGGGTGTGTCCTGGCTTGTGCACGAGGCTTCGTGAGGTTTTAGTTTCGTTTTGGTGTAAAAGTGAGAGTGTTCTTAAATCTGAGTTCGGAGGGAGAGGAGAGAGCCTTCTCCCAGGGCCTCGTAATGTGAAGTTATTTCCTTGTAAAGCAGCAGACTTTGGTAACGCCCTTCATCTGATGTACCATGAGGGGTGTGAAGAGAGTCAGGGAAAAAAAAAAAAAAGGCGAATTCCCGTAGACAAACATCTATTAATTTGTAGTTTGCACACATCTGCACGAAGGAAAAAATGTGGATTGGCTGCAGGTCCGGTAATGACTTTTGCAGAATATTTCATCGGTCAGAGAGCACCGGAGCGAGCTGCGGCCCGCGGAGAGCTGCGAGCTCGACCTGTTCCCAGCACACGAGCCCTGGGTGTGCTTGGTTTGTGCACAGACAACTCTGTGTGTGTGCAAGGGGAGCATTGCCACGAGGGGTAGAATGAGGTCGGATCCCTCCTGGGGGTGCAGAAGCGTGTCCTGAGCTCGCTCCGTGTTGGTGTAAGAGGAGCTGCGCTTTTTATTTTTTTTGCCTTTTTGCTGGCTTTGTCCTGCGCTATAAATAAGCATGATCAGGAGCAGCAGATAATCTATCCGCCCTGCTGACAGGAGTGTCAGAAGTGCAAAGGTTGGGTTTTATTTATTTACTCGGGGCTGCGGTTGCTGTGCGAAACCACCTCTCCTGCCAGGATGCGGCTGTGCTGGCTGCCCTCTCCTCCGAAAGAAGCGAGGGGAGGGGGGTTTGGGGCTTCAGCCCCCTTGGGAGCGTGTGTCCAACTCCGTGGGCATCTCAGGGAGGGGCTAAAAGCCCCCCATGAGTTGATGCTGAGGGTCCTGGGGGGCTTTTCTGGGAAGTGGTGCCATGGAGAGGGTTTGCTTGCTAAAAGAATAAGAGCTAGAGGTAAACTGGTTGTAATCCCTGCGCCAAGCTGGTTCGGAGATGAGATAAATGCAGGGCTCTTGTGACCACAAGTGACCACAGGGAAGCAATTCCTGGTGCAGCCGCATCATGCCCAAACCCCTTTACCAGCAGGCCGAGCACCTGCATCGCAAAGCGATGAATAAGAACAGGCTCTGGGATGAAGCTCTGGGACAGGAGGAGGATTTTAGGGCTGGAGACACTGCTGGTGCTCGGCTGATTCCAGCGGGAAAAATGCCTTGTGCCGAACAACTGGGCGAGGTGAGCACTCCCCTCCCCATGGCTCTGCACAGCATCGGGCTCCAGGTCTGGAATGATGTTTTTGAGTTCCCTGACATGGGCCCCATGGACTCCCCTAAATTTCTGGTTAACCAAACCTGGTGTTTTATACGAACCAAGTGGCTCTGTGTTTTCTCCTGTGGCTTAACCTGCGGAGGCTGGAGCAGTGAAACGCAGTTCTTAGCTCATGGAAGCAGCACAAGGTATAGCTCGGGGGGAGGCACTGCTGGGGTTCAGTTTGGCTTTGGATGCCACGAAGCATCTGCAAACCAGAGCCAAAGCCTACCAAAGACCATGGATGGGGCTCTGCACCCTTCTTGTGGTTCAAAAATGCGTTCAAGTGGCTGGACTTGGGAGTTTTAGAAATCACTGTGCAGGCCTGCAGCCATTTGGATATGCAGGAGAGCTGCCTCTTGTTCCTCAGAGTACAAAAATACCCACGTGCTCGTGCAGGGGCGACTGCACAGGTTGCAGAGGAGGCAGAAAGGATGCAAAAACCGCTCGGGGGTTATTTCTGCAGGCTGCAGGATGCCCCCGTGGCACGCACCTGGTGCAGGAGGGGATCCCTGTATGGCCGAGCAGCGGGGTGGGATGGATGCCCGCAGCTCGCTGCACATCTGTGCTGGAAGGCAGCCCGCCAGGAGCGGCTCTGAGGCTGCTGCTGGGGCTGTGGCAGTCAAAACCTGAATTTTTCCCAGGTTATTTCTCGAGACACCCGTCTGCTGCAGCAGGGGAGCGCTGGCTGCTCCTCACCCTCCTTCCCCCAAAGCTTCAAACCCCGAAATGCCCCAAGCCCTGCCAGTGGGGTGGCCAGGAGAGGAGGAGCAGCCAAATCCCAGCTGGGGGGCTGCTTGGGGGCTTCTGGAGGGTCCTGGCCGGGGTCGGGGGGGGCTGCACAAGGGGGGGATTTCGGGCGGGGCACCCTCAGGTGGGGCTGGGCTGAAGGCGAGGGAGCGGTCCCTGGGAGGAAGAAGCCCCCTGCGGGGAACCACCGCCGGGATGCGCCCCGGTGACCCTCCCCATATCCCCCCCCCCCCTTATCCCCAAGCCCCCCAGTGCAAACCCCAGCGCTGCAGGGCGAGAGGAGGCGGAGGAGCAGAAGAAGAAGGAGGAGGAGGAGGAGGAAGGAAGAGCCCCGTCCGGCTCCAGCTTCCTCCGCAAGCCCTGCCTCGGTGCACGGTGCCCGCCCCCGGCCCTCCCCCGGCTCTCCCCACTGCATGCCCCCCACCGCCGAGCCGAGCCGAGCCGTGCCGAGCCTCCTCCAGGCGGGGCCCCCCCCCAGCGGCTCCGCGCAACAGTTGCCCCCCCCTCCCCAAGAAGTCGTGGCCATCCCCGGCTCTCCTTTCCTCCACGATCCCAGCCCTTGGAGAGCCCCCTCGGCTCCAGGAGGAGGAGGAGGAGGAGGAGGAAGAAGAGGCTGGGGGGCGAGCTGCGAGGAGCCCCCACCGCTCTCATCGACCCGGTGCCGGGGGCAGGAGCCCCGCCGAGCCCCCCCCGCAGCCATGGAGAGGGGCGGCGGGGCCGTGCCACGGCTCCTCCGAGCCGGGCTCGCCCGTCCTCGCCTCCTTTTGCCGGAGCGGAGCCGCCCCGCCGCCGGCCACCGGTCGCCCTGCTGAGCTGCGGGGGGCTCCGAGCCCCCGCCGGCACCCCCGAACCCTTGGTGCGCCCCCCCGAGCCCTTTGGGCATCCTCCCGTCCCCTCGTGCGCCTTCCAAACTCCTTGCGCATCCCCCTTGTGCGTCCCCCTAAACCCCTCGTGTGTCCCCCCTACCCTTTTCCGCATCCCTCTGTGCACCCCTAAAACCCCTCGTGCATCCCCCCACCCTCATCTGCATCCCCCCGTGCACCCCTAATCCCCTTGTGCGTCCCCCGTGCACCCCAAATCCCCTTCTACACCCCTTTGTGCCTCCCCTTGTGCACCCCCAATCCCCCTGCGCATCCCCTTGTGCCTCCCCTTGTACCCCTAATTCCCTTGTTCCTCCCCCTGTGCACCCCAAATCCCCTTCTACACCCCTTTGTGCCTCCCCCCGTGCACCCCCAATCCCCTCGTGCACCCCCCTGCGTGCCCCCCACCCCCTGGTGTCCCCCCACCCTCGCATGCAGCCGCAGGGCCGTGGGGGCCGGGGACGCTCGCCATGGGCACCAAGCAGACCAAGGGCTGCCAGCCGGGCAGCGCGGGGGAGAGCCCCCCGACCCACCAGCGCAAGAAAACATCCCCCAGGGACCGGGGGGACTTCCTCGCCTCCCTCGTGGTGAAGTCCGGCGAGAAGTTTGGCAAGGGCGCCGGCAGCCTGCCCCCCTACCACCGGCGGATCTGCATGATCCAGGACATGCTGGTGCTGGTGAAGCAGGGGAAGCAGGAGGAGGCCACCGAGCTGCTGAGACACCTGCGGCAGGTGAGGACGAGCAGCTTTCTCCCCGGGGGGCTGCTTGGTTGCGGTGGGGAAAAGCCAACCCGGGACCGAAACGCATCCCGTTCCCGAAATCCGGTGCCCTGGTAGCAAAGAGGGACGCGCTCCTTCTTCACGGGTCTGACTTTTGTGGCGTGCTTTTGGGGACGTGGCTGAGGAGCTGCGGGGTGGTCGTGGTGCTGGGCACGGGGAAATAACCCCGGGGAGGTGCTTTGCGTGGTCTGCAGCGAGGAAACCCCGCCGGCTGCATTTTCTCCTTCCCTTGGTGGCTCACGCCGATAGCTCGGGGTTCTGCAGCGTGCGCAGCCCACTCGAGGAGGTTCCCACTCAACTTTGAAAAGTTGGGTGGTTGAGGCGGATCTGCAAAGCTCCGAGGCAAATCGAGCCGGCGGCTTTTGAGAATCGGCTCTTTTCTTCCAGGCTGAGCAGCACCAGCAGCCGGCAGCTTTGCTTTGTAGCTCGCTCTTTTTGACGCACGGCTCTCGGTGGAGTTCTGCTCGCCTTGTGGAAATGCGGTCGGAGAGGGGGGAATTCGTTGTGCCGAGCTCGAGACCATTCCCCTTGAAAATTTGTTTGAGCCGGGCGTTAGCTGAGAGGCAACGCTACGGAAAGGTGGTTTGAGCAAACAGCCGGGCAGCCACGGAGCGCTGCTGTGCACCCAGGAAATTCGCGTTTAACCTTTTTCTGCTGATAGAAGGTGATAACGAGACCGGAGCGCTGGGCGTCTTCAAGGCTCTGGGGTACGCCGGGCTTTGAGGAGCCGCAAGTTTTCCATGCAAACAGAAAGCAGGGCTTCACCAAGCTCGGGTTTTCACGCCAGGAGCCTGCACGGCGTCCTGGTGTTCGGCACAACCAGTTCAACCAGCTGGGGGAAAGCTTGCGGGGCACTGGGAGCAGCTCCTGGCCCCATAGCTCTGCTCTGTGTCAGCCTGTCCATGTAAAAACCCAGCTGCTCCAGAGCCCTGCAGGTTTCTCCTTGTTGTTTTGCGTTTGGGCTTTGCTTTTTGCATTTCCCCCTCATTTTCTGGTCTTGTTAACGTTTTCACGTGGCCCTGACCCCATCACCTGCCCCAGCCCGGGCACATTCCCATTACCCCAGCAGCCGGCATCCCTCTGCCCGCAGTGTACGCGACTTGTTGCTGTCTTTAGAGCAGCCCAGCTGAGAAATCTGAACAGTTTCATATGCTGTTGTGTTAGAAATGGGCCCTGAGCCTTGAAATAAGGTGCCCTCCAGGCTGGACGTGCCTTCGCCCTGGGGCAGGCTCCACGGTGGCCGTGAGCCAGGCAGCAGCTCCGTGCCCCAAATCTGCGCCGCCGCAGCCCCGCCGAGCTTCGCCCTGAGACAGGAGCCCATTGGAGCTGGCAGAGGGACGGGTGCTAATTTTAGAGGGTGTTTCTATCAGCCCTGCACACGCAGACAAAATAAGCCAGGTGCCTGTGAAATACCAGGAGTTGTTCCCAAGTTCTCCCTGGCTTCAGGTCCTGGTTTTTCTTGGTGATGCTCCGGACCGTCCTCGTCCCTCCTGCGTCTGGGGGATGGCTGGGGAAGGTGTGGGCGTGCATCATGGGCACTGCCATAATGACAAATCCCATCGTGGGGGCATCCCATCATCTGCCAAGGGATAAAAAAGGTCTCCACTTTGGCTAGAAAGTGATTTAAAATTCCTGGGGGAAGCGAGGGACCTGTTACCGTCAGATAAGTCGTCGTGAGCGAGCGTTGCTGAAGAGCTCGCTCTGATAAAACATATCTTAAAGTGTCAAAATAGGGAACACTTTGTCCTAGATACTATAATAGACTTGAAGCACATTTTTAATGAGGCGGTATTATTTCTTTGCCTCCGGGTGGTGCATGTGGGATGCCCCACCGAGCAGATCCTGACGGCCGTGGGTTGTGACGGGTCGGCTGTCGGTGTGCTGCTGGCTGCGGGGATGCTGGCATCGCTCCCGGGGGAGGGAGCTGGGGCTGGGCGGTGGTGGAGGCTTTGGGAGCTCCTGAATGTGGGGTTTTTGGGGAAAAAAGGGGGGCAGAGACCTCTTCTCGTTAGCAGTGGTGCTGTATCCATCGCGGGGGGCTTTGCTGCTTGGGCTGCGTAATTGCAAACTTAATGCAGGATGATGATGGTGATAAGGCTGCAAGATGGGGGTTTTCCAGCAAAACCAGCTCTCAGTTGCGTTTTGAGTGTTTTCTTTGAAAATCCCAGCCATTTAGGTCACCGGGAGTCTTTCCACTGACTTCATCAAGCTTTGGAGCGGGCCCAGCACGCTAACGAGGGGGCAGGTGACAGCATCCCTGCGTTTTGGAGGTGCTCCATCCCTGGTTTAAGTGGGATGAGCGTGCTGGCAGACACGAGGCTGAGCAGATTTTTGGCTTTCCTTGACCTAGCTCCCTGCCCAATCCCCATCCACTGGCTGCGAGAGGAGGCTCGAGGGGACCCCTCCTGCCTGCCGGCCCCCGCACCCCAAAAATTGGGTTTGATGATCAGCAAAGGGGCAGGGCAGCAAATGGTCACGGCACCGGAGCACGGACAGGTCCTGCGTGTGCTCCACCAGCCTCTGGCACCCGCTGCCTTCTGCAGTTTGCTGGCCTGTTGCATTTCACCAAATTTGGCCAATTTCCCCCTTCTCTCCACAGCCCCGAAGCGGGAGCGCCGCTGTTTCCTTTACGGGCTCCTGCAAGGATTAAGGAGCATTTCCAGAAATGCTTCGGAGGTTGCAAACAACTATAAAAGCGCAAAGATAGGAAGCAGGCTGCTTTTTGTTTAAAAAGGTTAAAAATGCAAATAGCAGCTGGCTGGACTTGTTCGCTTCAAGGCTGCTCCTCGGCAGGGAGCTGAGAGCCTTCCCAAACCGCCCTATTAACCCCCAAAAAGTGCTGCCCTCTGTTGAAGAGGGGTGATTCCCTATAAGCCACCCTTGCCTGTGCCGCATGTAGGATGCGTTTGGCAGTTAAACACGTCTAAGGAGATAGGAAATAGGCTCAAATGCTTCCCATCTTGGTGAGGCCGGTGTTTGGGGTCACGATAGTAGAGAAGCATCCCAGTCCCATGGATGGTGCTGCTTGCCTTTCACCGAAATAATCCTCACTGAAATAATAGGGCCTTGTCCTGCAGGATGGTGAGAGCTGAATTAATGCTGTTGGCTCTTGGAGACACCTGGGACCCCGCTTTCGGACCCCGTACCTCAATCCTAAGACTCTCAGGGGTGGGAGAGTTGCATCTTCTCCATGCCAGTGGGTTGCTGTGCCCATTGCCACCCGTTGCAGGCTTTAATATTATATAGACCATCCCATTTTTTCTTTTCCTTCCTTTTTCTTTTCTTTTTTCTTTTTTTTTTTCTTGAAGCCCTCTTGAGTTTCAGCTGGTAAAGCAGCCAAGCAGTGTCAGTGTATTAAATTCTGGGAGTGTCTCTCCTGCTGGGGAGAGAATTTGTAAAACAAAGCATGTTTTCCTCCTCTCCGCTGCCAAACGGATCGTTTTCCCAAGCGGGATGGCGAGGCGCTTCCCAGCACATTACGTCTCGCTCGAGGAATTTGCCATCGGCCGGGGCTCGCCGTGCCCTCCCCGCCAGGGCAGGGGCTGCTGCTGCTGCTCGCCGCGGGCTCGGCCGTCGCCTGCCCGGGGCACGCCGTGGACAGCGGTCCCAGGAGTTAAATAAAAGGGGAAAACGGGGCAAAATGTTCTGGTAAAACCCTCGGGATGCTGAAGGTGGCCAGGAGCCAAATTGCAAGGTCTGAGTCGCGGCAAAGCTTCGTGACTTTGGAAGGTGGCTTTTCGGCTGATGCCTGGGCAGTTTGGGGATGTGACAGGGCTGGGGACGGGGCTCAGAGCCCCTAAAAGGGGTGAAGGCACCGCGGTAACTTCAGCTTGGATGGGGCTCGATGTGATCTGATGCCTGCGAGCCTTGCAGAGCCTGAAGGGCGCATGCAGCCGCCCCTTGCCATGAACATAAAACCCGTGAGCTGTGCCCAGGTCCCCAAAGCTCCCAGGGGAAGGCAGCGATGTGGGGTGAGGGGGCTGTGAGAAACCCCAAGGCTGCCTTGGGAGGGTCCGGATGGCTTGGGAAGCTCGTTGTAAGCAGCGTGTTTATTGTTGCTGGTTCTAAGTAGCATTTTTCTGCTTAATGAGTCCCTCCCCATCTGGTTTTTGCCAGCATTTCTGGGCTCTGCTCTTGGCTTGCACGGGGAGGTTGGCAGAGAAACGCATCGGGATCGGTCGTGGTGGGTCAGGAGCGCTCCGAGGGTTGCTCATTTCCCCCAAATGACCCTTAGGGGAGACAGATGCTGTTGTATGGCTTCTCCACGTCAAGGTGGATAAGTTGTCAGCTGAGCTGCTGGGGATCATCGTGTCTCTGGCAGGGAGAAGGGGATGGGTTTTGGTGTCCCGTTGTCTAAGATTCAACCCAGGTCCCCCAAGGATGCCAGACACGGTTTTGCACCAGCCTTGAAGCCCGTGCTTCACCCCACAGATGCCAAACCTGCTGAAATATCCATGCCTGGCCGTGTATTCGGTGTGTGTATTGATGCCTCGAGCAGACCCTGGGAAGCTCTGTGGGTTTGGCTGACCTCAACACAGCCAGACCGCACCGTGCCTGCCCTTGTCCCTTTGTGCCAGCCATGGGGACTGTCCCACAGCCCCTGGGATGCTGTCAGACCTTGGTAACACCACTCCAGGAGCATGGGGTCCCTGAACAGTGGGCAGACACAAAGCAATTTTCAGTGCCAGGCTGGGGACACCCCCGCCGACGGCTGCGGTGCGGCGAGGTGGAAATTGGGCAACGCGGCTTCGCAGGGCCCCGAGCTCAGCGCTGCCGCTTGGGGCTCAGCAGTCGGTTTCCTCCAGCCCGAGTTGCTGACGAAACCACCGCCGGTGCTTCGTGCGAATATTTTTAACCCTTAGGCTGCTAGGTAGCGTTGACAGCAAATGAATGTGCCTGCTGGCACCGGGGTTTGGTGTTTTCCACCCCAAACAGGCGGCTCTGGCCTCCTTGCCGTGCTCTGCTGAGAGCTGCCCTCTTGCACCGTCCTCTCTCTGCTCCCTTGTTTCCCATCCTGGTTCCTTCTGTTCTTTTTCCCTTCCCCCGTGGGATCCGTGGGTGGATGCGCCCCGCTGTCTGCTCGGCATCTGAGCAGCCCGGCTTTAATTAAACCCCGGGAAGGGGGCTCCTGCTGCTCGTCCTGAGCCCCCGGGGATGCTGAGATGCAGGGGGAGGGCAGAGGCAGCTCCCACCCCACAGCGTGGGGGCAGCCCCCAGCTCCCTCTCCCCCTGTGCCTGCAGCAGCGATGCTCGCCGTGCCGCTGGCGGGGTTTCCTCTCCGAACTTCCCTGTCTCCCCTGGGATCAGGAAGCACAGAAATCGGCACGGCATTAATGCAATCCCTGCAACACGCCCAGGCAGGCTCCGTTTGCAGCACTAGGAGAGCCTAAACAGGGCTGAGCCCTGTGTTCCTATACCTGCTGGCACCAAAGGGCACGTCCTGGCCAAGCTCCCTGCATGACCAGCCACCACAGACCCTGGTTCAGCATTCCCCTGACCCCAATATCTCCCCAGACCCACCAGGCTGGGCTGGGTGGGCTGCTCGTGCCCTCGGCAGAGCCAGGAGCCCCACGGCTGGGAGGTGCTGCAGGCTGGCAGCCCCTGGCCACCACCTCGCCTGATTCTGTAGCACCAGGATTGCATCTTCTTTTTTATTTAATTATTATTATTATTTTCACCTGGGCAGCTTCTTTCCTGTCTGTTGGGAACACCAGCAGCTCGGGGCTCCAGTCTGCAGGGCACCTGAAATCCGTCCTGTCCTCCCCTCTTAGCAGCTTCGTGTCGGTGGCATCATCCTCTGTGTCGGGGGGTTGGTGGCCTTGGCTTTTTCTTAGGTAAGGGAGGTGCTTGTGCATTAATACCGGTTTCGTTCTGGTACAAAGAGATAAGGGATTTTTTAGCCTTTAATTTCTTCTGCAGGCCCTAGCCAAAAGCCCAATACGATTTAATTCCCTTTCTCTCTTTTGTATAGCTCGACCTCTTTCTCCCCTCGTTTTTGGAGAAAAGACCTCAGGATGGCAAATTCAATCTTCCCTCGGACAGCAAAAGCAAATTGTCCTTTCCATCCAAACTGAAGAGTTAGCTCCAATTACCTAGGGGCTGTGACCTCGCTTCTTGGCAACCTTGATGCTCTCCGGGTTCCTCAGATCTGTGCAGGACCGTTCGTGTTTCAAGCCCTGCATCTCCCAGATTATGGTCCCGCTTTGCTGTGAGCTTTTGAGGCAAGCCTCGGACAAGCATCAGGGCTGGAGGGAGGTGCCCCATGCCTTTGTGTGTCTCAGTGGGTATTTAATGCCCTATGGCCTCGTTATGTTATATTTTCCATGAGGTCTGGCTCTCTTTCCATTACACATCAGGGCTCAGGGCTGATCTTGGTGCAGGCTTTTCTTTACGGGATGTTCCTGATTGTTGTGCTGGTTCAAGCAGCCCGTGCATCCTTTTTGTAGGTTTTTCCTGAGCTCTTCTTCGCCCAGGCTCTGATCGGGCTGCCTGCTGCTGCTTTTTTTCCTCTTTCATGTCCCCTTTCCTTCTGAGGCTGGTTTCTAGGAAATAGCAGCTGGGTTCCTGGCACCGCTCTGCTCCGGACCTGCCGCTTCCCGCTGCCTGCCCTCCTCAGGAGGTTTTGCAATGTTTGTGTCTGTGCTCACGCGGCGAGGGATTACATTCACGTGTTGCACAAGAGGTTTTGTTAAGGCCCTGTCCCTAAACCTCTCGCAGGAATTGGGTTGAAATGAATGTTAATTAATTAAAAAAGCCCCCAGCAGCCAGGCTGCGCGCTGCAGGACCCTCGGGTGCAGGGGCTGGACACGTGCGCTTCTCCGGAGGATGGGAGGCAGATGTTGGGTTTCTAGATAGCTCCTTGCTTTACCTTTAGCCACAGAAAGTGAGAGCTAGCTAGGAAAGCAAAAGCTTTCTGATTTAAAAAAGGAGAGCCCAAGGGTACAGGGCTGCATGTGTGGGGCTTATCCAAGCCCCATCGGATTTGGGGACAGTGACCCACATGTCATCAGCTCCCCATTGACCTACAGAGGCACGTAGAGCTAACAAAGTTTGTTTCATTGTGGTGTTCCACCATTTATTTCCATATTTCCTTGTATTTCTCTGAGTCTCAATACTTTCTTATCGAGATCAGCACGCAGAGAAGTAGCAGAGAGTTGCCCACCTTCCACTAACGTGCCTCCTGCTGGGTTTGGGGCACGCAGAGCATCCTGCTCACTCCTTTTGAGCACCAGCTTCCCTGCTGGTACTGCTGGATGGAAACCAAATTGCCATGAAAATGTTAACCCAGGAAGGAAAAGTCCCCTGGTCTAGCTACAGCCAGGGAAGAAAGTAGGTGCTTGTAGGGTTCCTGCTTCCCACCGTTATCCAGGCATGTTTCCAGGGGAGGAATAATGATGTGATGCTGATGTATCACAGTGCCAGCTGAGCAAGGCTGCACGGACGTGGGGAAGAAGCAGACTTTTGGCATCTGCAGTCCCCAAACAGACGGCTTGGGGAGTCCCCTCTGAGCACACACCAGCCCTCTCGCTTCTCTGGTGCAGCTTTTGGCCAAAAACGCCTGCAGGGACATCAGCGTGCTCGCAAATACCCACCTCAGCTGCTGTGCCACAGTGACGGTGAGTAGTGGGGGCAAGGGGAAAGTGCCGTGGTTAGGACCAGATGGGATGCTGGATGTCTGGGAGCGGGATGTAGGTGGGGATCCCATCTCCCAGCAGGGTGGCATCAACCTGCCTCTGTGCCTCTCCCAGCCCAGGGCACAGAACTGGTACCTGCTGACCCCGAAACACAGCTCTCCCTGCTCCGTGAGTAGAAAAAGGGGGGATTTGGGGGAAATCTCCCTGCCTGTGGTTGCTGTGGGCTTCCTGGATGATGGCAGCTTGCAGACATGGAGAAGCAGTTTGGGATGCGAGCACAAACGACTTACCCGTGGCAGTGACCACAGCCAAAATCAGCAAGGAGGGGATCTGGATTTAAGCAGCCTGGTTTTATGGGTAGGATTTTTTTTTTTTTTGGTTATCCTTTAAGCAAGAGGATGTTTTCCTGTTGGGTTGTAAAAGGCGAATTCAGCTGGGTGCAATGTGATACTTCCTGCCCCGAGCAGGAGCTGTGCGGCTGTGGGGTTCCTTGTGTGTGGCTTTACTCTGGTGGCAAGTGGGGGATTTCGGGTTTACAGGATTGATTGCTTTCAGTTTTATTTATTTTTTTATTATTATTATTTAGATTTGTAACTCAAGTTACACAAAGATGAAAGCTAGAGTTCAAAATGCAGGAAATTAGTGTTTGAATGGGATTTGATCAGACAAAAACCTCAAAGTATGCTGGATATTTAGGGCACTCAAACTTCTCAAAACACATTTTCTGTTTAAAACCAGCTGATCCATTAACCAGAGTATTAATTTTACACAATGAATTACTCTTCTGGCCACCTTAATTAGCGATCTTGGCTCTCGGGTTGCAGCTTTCCTTGCAGATTGGAAGTTAAAAACATGAATTTCTCTGAAACGGGCAATGAAACGAAGATATTTTATTTGCCCTTGTCATGCTCCCCGAAAGCCCAAAGTGCTTTGGTTTTTCTGGCTGCTGTTTCATCAGTGACTTCCCCTAAAATTTCGGCAGCAAGCACGCCCTGCTGCTTGGGCTGACACACGCTGGTTAACGTGCAAGCGTGGCCATAGGTTGTCATTAAGCTGAGTGGCTTGTTTGAAATGTATGCTTTAAAGTAAAGGCGTGTAATGCATAAAGCCATTTTAACTGGCTGTATTAAGTGGATTTTAATGTCATTGGGTTGAATTCTGGTGCAACCCAATCCTTTTTTTTTTTCTCCCTTAGCGAGGTTGAGTGTTTGCTGACCTCTTTGTGGAGCCAAATGTGTTTACCGTTGGGGTTTTTAGAAGAAAGTGAGCAACCTGAGGGGTCCCACCCTGCCACAGCTGCCCCTCCTCACCCCCAGCAGCCCCCGAGAAGCGCCCAAATCCCCTGGTGCCCAAGGGAGGGAAGATAGAAACCCATCAAGAAAGGGTTTTCCTTCCAGGCTTCTTCCCCCTGAGCCAAGTACCTGGTGCCTGCGACCCAGTCCCCGAGGCTCCACTCTGCCTGATGGTTAAAAACTGCATGGTGTAAATAAAAACACACAGGTATGGGATAAAACATGGAGAAAAACTGAATTTCTTCCCTTAACCCCTCAATACAAGCCCATTTTCACTCAATCATATGTTCCTGTAAGATGGGGATACGGCTCCCAGTTCTGAGTGGTGCAAATTGCAGGGGTCTTTGAGTGGGTCTTGGAGGGGGAAAATGGGGGGAATAAGGTGCTTTTGAAGCACCCTGTGAAAAGTGGGGTTAATCTGCTCCAGCTGATGGCCTCCTCCATTACCTCCCCAATCAGCCTCCCATTTTTCTCGGGGCGTTTTGAGAGGAAACCCTCGCCTACGGCAATTCCCTTCCTGGGGCTGCCTCGCAGCCTCTACTCGAGCAGACAAAATTATTGTGTGTGCCATTAGCAAGCTGTGTAATGAGAATTACGGCCTGCCTGCCCGGTGAATCGGGCAGAGGGCTGCAATTTGTACAGCCTGGCCGTGCAGGAGAGCTTTGGAGAGGAATTAAGAGCATTCAGCACGGCCCTGCTTCCTGCAGGTGTTGTGCTGTGCCAGCGCCTTCTCTCCTCTCGACTCCAGAGTGCAGGGCTGTGCTTTTCATCCTCTCCTTGCCTTATAAACGTTGCTTTTAACCCAATTCCTGAGTGCTCTTCAGCACCTGCAGCAGAGCATCCCCAGGGCGGGTGATCCAAAAGGCTCCTTCCAGGTCTTTGTGGTGTTGTTTGTGGTGTGGCTGTGGTGCAACAGGCTTGGAGAAGCCCCCAGCCCCAGCAATTGGTGGGCATGGATGAAACCCTCATGGTAGCTGTGAAATGAGAGCTGCCAGGCTGCCTTGGGCATCAGGATGGAAGGCAGCAGCAGCTCCTAAGGTTACTTGGGGTTTTAGGACCTCTGCAAACACCCTGGGTGCATCACAAGTGATCTGGGGCTGTGTTGGCACAGCACCCGGCACGGTGCAGGTGGCGACTGCGTGATTGCAACGCGAGCTGGTGTCCCAGTTTATGGCCCCACTCCTCATGTTTTTTAGGCTGATGCCCAGAAAAGAAGCAGTCTCGGGGCTCTCCCTGCCCTGCCGTTGCTCTTTCCTCCGTTTTCCTTCCCACCCTGTAGCTGCAGAGGGAGTTTGGGACAGCCCAGCTGCGCCCACGCAAGGTCTGGCTGCGGCGAGCCGTGCCCGCCCCTGCTCAGGCTGACACAGAGGAGCTCTCTGATGGGATTAACTCCCCGAAACGTGGCGAGGGATCTCTGCCGTGCTGTCAGCTCTTGCCCAGCAGCTGCTATTCTCCACCAACACAAAGGAAATAAATAAGCTAAACTCCTGCAAGCCATTTTTTTTTTTTTAATATTCCCTTTCAACGTTGCCGCACCGTGTAAATCAAATGCGTTTTCTAGCAGGAGTCGGGTTTCCTTGTGAGCCCTCCCTGCAAAGGTGGTGCCAGAAAAAAATATGCAAAAAAAAAATGAAAAAAATAAAAAAATTCAAACCTGAAATAACCCCAGAGGCAGGAGTAAAGCACGGTGCGTGCAGCTCCAGGTCACTTTGCAGTCCTGGATTGCACACGGACAAGGGCATCGTGCTGCTGGCCACCATGTGCCATGTCCTGAGGGACCAGAGGCTCACCAAGCTCCCCTCCGGGGGTGACATGGGGCTCATTTGCAGCTCGGGGCTGTTAATTAAATGGGAAGCAGCCAGGCAGCTTTTCACCTTTGATTCCTACTGGCTGCAGCAGCCTCAGCAACCTCCTGGCTAAAGCACCAGAAATCCTAAAGTTGGCCGTATTGCCAGTTGACTTGAAAGCAAGGAATAATTTCTCTTCGTCTTCATGTCTTGGGGGGGTTGTTGTTGCTCTTTGTTATTTCTGACTCTCATACCTTGTGCGCAAGCAGTAGTAATAGTGTAAAAAGCCTCCTATAGGCTGCAGTCTTACGTTTGTGTATATGTGTGTGTAAAATATAAACTATATGTGCAAGGAAATGGCCAAAATGCGGCTTGTGGCTCTGTAAAAGATTTCTCCGTCCCCATCAGGCTTGTCTAGAAGAGTCGTCCTTCTTATTTACATTTACAGCGCCCTAAAAGACACTGCAACAGTTTCGGTGTAATTAGACACGAGGGTTAAAATACCTTTCACGTTACACGGGTGTAGCAGCCAAAACCTCACCTCCAGCCTCTGGACAAGGGTTGCGCTGTGTGGACTTTTATCCCCTTGCTTTCTGCCTGCGTTCCTGCAGCGAGTAAACTGCTGCTGTGCCATGTGCCTGAGTGCCAAAGGGGTG